CCCCAAAACCCCAAAACCCCACATATCCAAATGTTTTATTTATTGGAAAAATCAAAATAATAATAAAGTCAAAAATGCAATTATATTCCCCTGATTTTCAAAGCAAGCAATCTTTAAAGCAGCATACAACTAGCAATACCTAGATTGATAATACCTCACCAAAAAATCAACTATAAACAGTTGAAATAGCGAGCAAGCTGTAAAAAAGACTGAAGATGGTGGACTTTGATGATTGCTTTTAAATTATCAAGCCAAAGGATTACATTAAAGCCAATAAAAAGAATATTGTAACTTTGCAGAGCACGATTGAGGCAACTAGGACGATTTCGAGTCCGCCTAAGACTACTACAAGTCCTTAAAATAAGACAAGAACATAGTTTCCTACTAAGACTCTTATTGAAAAATAGAAAGAATAGATGTAACAATAACTAGATAAAATCAAAAGAATTATCATGAGTAACCCTTACAAGTTTAGCAATTACATGGAGCACAATTCAGCACTGGTACCAGAGAAACTAATAAACCTAAATCAAGTAGATCCAAGTCCAGTATTTGACGATGACTATGATGATGATGAATAGAACTTTTACAACTAACTTGCAAAGAATGACTAAGAATAAGGAGTGAAGTCCAATAAGAAAAGGTAAAAGTTCAATAAGGATTTAGTAAAACAATATTAGCTTTACAAGAAATTGCATCACATAAAAGCAAAAGGTGATCATTAGGAAACTTCAATGCCCTTAGATTTCAAGGATAAAATCTAGTTGCTAGAAGAAGAAAAAGCAATTTTTGGAGTAGATTCAGGAGATGAAAATCTTAAATCTCCATTTGGTAAAATCACTAAAAGAATTAATAGTTAGCAGTCTAATAAAGATTTGGGAGAAGCCCTCACTCCAAAATATCACAATAGAGTGAGTTTTCATAAGAGGTCAATATCAATTATGGACCCTTCAGTTTAGTAGCTAGAAACTCTACAAAATTCAAACTTTCAATTGCCAGAGCTATCAGGTATCTTAAATCCAGATGAATCTTCGCCTTTAAGAATTGAAACTTAATCCTATTTGCCGGATCAAATCAAGTAGTATCTTTAAAAGAAAAACAATATTGATTCCTCAGGGCTAAAGTCGAAATAGCGCAAGACTAATAACAGAACATCGCTAGATTTAAAAAATAACATTAATCACTTTAACTAGGAAAACATGAATGTTTCTTCAATTTTACTAAAATAGGCAAAGGATATAGTTACCTAGGTGAACAAGCAATCACACAATAATATTGGATTGATAAAGCTCTCTAAAGATCTACGAAATCAAATAGTTCAAGAAAGTCCCTCTTAAATTACTTTACAGAGAGATATCTTTGATAACTATGATAACTTTAAACTCAAATCTAGACATCATAAGTTTCAAGTTGAGGATCTTTACATAAAAAGAGAAAATGGTTTGCCACTAGAAATACTTGAAGAAATGGAAAGGGAGGAAGAAGAAAAGTAGTAATACATTCAAAGTATGGAGACGAAGTTGAGAGCGAAGGGTTCAGCATTAAGCAACCTGAGTATTCTCTAGGAGTAAAAAGAAGGTTTCACAGGTAAAACCTCCATGACAAGTACTTTGAAAATGCATAGTGCACAACCTTCACCTATTAAAAAGAAGCAAGAGTCAACTGATATGGGAGGTTTTAACAGTAAGTTTAACAGTCTTGAATAAGATGTTTAAAAGAGGAACTAGGTAAAATAAACTCTAAATACAGAAACAAACGATGTATTTGACTTAAATAATAACATCAACAAATTCTCATACTAGAATATGAAGAATGAAAGAGAGCTAAGAGAGCTTAAGCTGCAGACCTAATCAAAGTATCAATCTGTTGAAAGAATGGCAAAGCTTGAATAAATTAAGAAAAATATTGATAGCTATAAAGAATTCAAGGAGCAAAGAGAAAAAGCTTTAATGCAGATAAGGGAAGTTGCAAGAGCAAACAATGGTAACATTAACTCGCATCATGATATTAAACTTCCTAAATTGAAGAATTTTTATGAAAGATCTTATACAGATGGCAGATATCCACCTAGAAATAATACTTATAACTTTTAGACTTTGCAGCACAGACGAAAGTAAGATGTTGCAATTGATGCTGCTTCACTTTCTACGAGAAGAGTTTCACTCAAACATGATAATATGACAATAGATAAATGGGGTGAGGGACCCAACACTGGAGGATACATAGATAGAATAATTCTAAGCGGGAAAAACATGCTCTCCCCTCATAATCTAAGTAGTGATATCAGAGGTGGTGGTAGGCAATTAAATAAAGATATTGAGAGATTCTACTGAAGCACGATTATTTAAGTTTTCTAGTCAAATTATAGCTCATTATAGCCTTAAGAATTAAAGTCATTGAATTTTTATTAATCCACAATATCAATCTACTTGAGCCAATGGGGTTTTGGGGTTTTGGGGTTTTGGGG